CCACAACCGCTTCCAGAACTCCTGAAGAAAAAATAAGAAGCACTGCTGGCACCACAGCTGTCCCCAGTACCACTGTTCCTCAGTCTGGAACCAGAAGCACCATAGGTGTTATTGAAATTGTTTCTTCTACTGTAGAAAGTGTGTCTACCACTGTTTTTCCCAGAACTTTTAGTCCCACAGTCAGTCCAGGTATGTCATTGTCTACCTCTTTAAGGTTTATTTCCCAGTTTTTCTTTAGAACAACATTCGTGTCACTTTGACTTCTGCCCCTAAGTGAATCTGTGATTCTGTGGTTCTGTCACCATATCTATTTCTTGAAACACATAAACGAATTTTTAATCAATCTGGCCCTCTGCCTCTAGTATCTGTTAGACAACTCAGCTTCGTAGTATTAATCCTTAATTCAGGGCAGAAAGTGGTGATATTGAAACTTTTGAAAACTTTAGAGCTAAATGTCCTAAGAGTTGCCAAATGCCACACAATGTTCAATGTATAACTAAAAAATTTCCACTTATGAATAGGTCAAGTATTTGAATGCAACAAAATGTTCACTCGTTTTGCTAGAATGCTGAAAAGACCTCTTGAATGTATTAAAATTCTTATATAAAAATCCTGTGCTGCAAATTAAATTATTATTTGTATTTAACAGTTGCTACAACTGGTACATCACAATCAAGTCATATTACAACAAGCACTTCTGCAATATTCAGTTCTTCCACCAGCACATCTGTGACAACAGAAGCCAGTACCCATGCTGCGTCCAGCAGAGTAACTCCATGCTTTTGTCATGTATTTGATACTTTATTTTCTCCTGGTAAGTGTCTTATTTTTTGATTATAAAAATTTTTATAAGCAATATAAACCCTTAAGACACTATTCAAGTAAGGATAACCACTCAAAATAATCTAAACATAGAACTTTTTATAGATGAACACACTTTATATTTTCACAGTATTTTCCTGGTTTTTCTCCCTAAGTATTTTCATTTGTCTTGTAATTTCTCCTCCAATTTTCCTCTACAGGCGAAGTGGTATACAACAGAACAGACAGAGCTGGCTGTAATTTTTATGCACTTTGCAGCAAGGAATGCGAAATTGAGCCATTCCAGGGGCCGTGTCCTTTGACAACTCCTGTCCCTTCAGTCGCTTCAACAACTACAACACAAGGCACCTCATCCACAGATCACATATTGTCTTCTGCCTCACCAACCACAGCAACATCCCTCACAACTTCAGCAGAAAGAAACTGTACTGATGTCAATCCTCCACGAAAGGTGGTTCCCCTCCTTACTTTCTAATATATCACTGTTGCAAAACCAGCACAATTTCTGTCCTCTAAGAGCCAATTCAAATCAACCTCTAAGTATTTCAATAAGGAAGTTGGTTGTGTAACAAATGACCTGATAACACACAATTCTTTAACTTGGTATTACCAGGTTATTTTAAGTAATCTGTAGGTGGAAAAGCTCACTAAGACCATGGCAGATCATTTGTTTTTAATAAAAGACATTTAAATGTCATAGAAATAAGCAGACTATGTATGAAAAGTATATTTCTTTTTATGCAGAAGAAAATTGTTCTCAGCATTCCTGCTCTTAATAGTATGCTAAGAAAACTCTAATCTGAACTTCCCACCAATTTTGAGTCTATCTTAAGATGAAACAAAACATCTAGGGCTAGAAAGAGCATTTGAGAATAAATCATTTACATATTTTCAGCCTGGAGAGAGCTGGATAAGTGAATGCCAGAAGTGTGTCTGTGACTCCCTCACTGCTACTGTGCAATGCCAGCCGCTCCCATGCCAAACAACAAAGGAAACAACTTGTGACCTAGGATTTGTCTCCATGGTTGTACTACCACAAAAAGACCCATGTTGTCCTGAATTTAAATGCCGTAAGTATTAAAAATACATATATAAACACCACACTACACATTCCAATAAATTACATTTGCACTTCTGTTGACACCTAAGGAAGTTCTTCATGTATCACAATAACAGCAAAACCTTAAGTTGTTCTGTCTCAGTGAACACACATCAATTTTTGGCTAAATGTGCATTAGATCTTTATTTAAAAACAAAACGTTATTTTCAATTAACTTTGATGAAAGAATGGGTGGGATAGCAGGATAATACTTTGAACCTTCATGAAGTCTATATAGCTCAACTATCTCTGCATCTGTAATTATAAATGTTGTCCATGCATTTTTTTAAATGTTATTAATGTAATGTTGGAGCACATTAACATTAGTCCAGCTGCAGCTAAACTAAGATGCATAAACATAAGAATAGCACAGCAAAAAGCTTAACAATTAACTACAAGAGCAAGTAACAGGAAGCAATAATACAAAGTGAAGCGTTATCAGTAATTGAATTGCCAATGTATGAAAAAAAATAATTATACTTACAAAGTCGTTGAATGCTCATGAAAATTTAAAAATCCTACAGCTATGCAAGTTTATTTATATACATAAATTTGTGTGCAAAAGAATAAAAAGAAAAAAGTACCCATAAATTAAGCTTGAAACAGGAAAGTCAAAACAAAGGAACAGGCAAGTTTGAAGTGGTTCTGTGAAAGACACTCTTTTTTGACTCAGAGTCAGTATTCCATCCAACCACATTCTGAGAGGTCATAAAGAATCAGTAACTAAAGCATCTTTGAATATTATTGGACTGGACTTCTAAGGTTCAAAGAGGAAACAACTAATTTAATTTGAAGTGAATCAGATATTGAAAGGGCAAAAAAGGGATTTTTCATGAATAGCTTGAGTTTGAAGCCATTCCTCAACTAACTCTTCTAGCTAATCTCAATGACGAAACTTTATTTAAACATCCACTCCCTATGAGGTCTAAGCATGTAGGAGGATTGAATTCAAGTTTTCCATACTCTCCGTGTTACTAACAAAACTTGATAACATCTTGACTTCTCAGGAAGTCTCACAGTTTGAGTTTACTCTGAAATAATTTTTTGTTTTGTTTTTCAGAACCAGTACCTAATGTCTGTGTGATTAACGGTACATTGTACACGGTGAGAATGTTATAGCATTGCATAGTATATTGCTGGAAGTGGAAAGTACATCCTTTCTACCAAAAGAAGTCTTTGAGAAAGTTCTTTTCCCAGCACATGTGGTTTTTTTATCTCTCACCCTTAACTGGGAGTTTTTCAGTTTTTTTAATGTCAAAAACAAATTGATCCCAGAAATGTTCCACAACGTGTAGCAGAAAAGAAGAGTGTACTATTTTTAGTGCTGTACTTTCTTTTTTAAGCTCCCTCCTGCTTCTGGAACTAATGAATTTCCCAAACAATCTGATGAATAGTGCAAACTCAGTGAAGTAAGCACAGAGAACCTTAAAAAACAAAGCTAGCATTTTTGCTTTAATTGATACCCTAAATCTTTTTGCTAAAATTGGTACTTAGGTCATTAACTCAAAACTGAAGCATTAGCATTGGAGCCTTTGGGGATCCATTTCAAAAGACTAAAATCCATGTGTAAAGTTATACCTCTACTTATGTATATGCTTATTTTAATCTCCATTTTCAAATTACAACCACTGAACACGACTTATAGAGAAAAAATATTCTTAAATGGAGCATTGAAAATCTGGGAAAATAATGAGACAGTATAAACTAGTCTTACCTTCATTTTATTAATTTACTCTTCTTTTTTACATTGCTTCATTTAGTTTCCTCTTACTTTCCTCTTGCTTTCCTGCAAGGCTTGAAGCCAAACAACTCTGTGTTCAAAGAGAGTTGAAGAACTCAGGAGCACTTGGATTTCAGCAATCTTAATGGTTCTCAGCAATGTGTTCAACTCTGCCTATACATTATATGGAAACTGTTGCCATTTGAATGTTGGGGTTTTTTTTCTGTCTTCCAGGTTGGAAAGTCAGTAGTAATCAATTCATGTAAGAAATGTACCTGCAGTTCCGAGAAAGATCCAGTGACTAATGCTAACACTGTGCATTGTGAAACGGTTCAGTGTGAAACATCTTGCCCACTGGTGAGTTCAGATTCTCTAGGCTGCCCAGTCAGCCCTCAGTTACAGCAAGATTAGAATTCTCCATCACCAATTCAACATACTTTCTTTTTCATCTCCTTATGAGTAGGGTTATCAATATATGACTGAGGAAGGAGAGTGCTGTGGGAAGTGCATCGAAGTAGCTTGCAAAGTCAAACTAAGTAACAACACTGTTCATGTGCTCAATGTAAGTACTCCTTTCAATTTCAGATCTCTCTGTTAGCTGATATAACAGCTAAGAGTCAATTTATGTCCCTTACTAGTAAAAATATAATACTGAAATTACTCTGAAAACAACACACCAGCTTTCTGAACTGAACACTTACTTGGAACGACAAATTCTTGATATGTGTGGTTAATGGGGCAATGATTTCTAATTTGGGGTCTGAGTGTTCAGATCCAGGATTTAAACTTTCAAGTTAAATTCTGCAGTTTGCAGAATTTCATTTTTGCCACTTGAAAGAACTTCAGAAGCATCTAAGAACCTCTGAGGTATAAGAACTTAATTAGCTCTGACATACTTGATGACAATGAAAAAAAACTTTTGCTTTTCTTATAAAATCTTAGGTTAATGAGATCCTGCCACTCGACCAATGCAGTCATTACAAATGTGAAAAAATTGAAGATCAGTTTGTTGCAGTCCAAAGTAAGAGAGTATGCCCTGACTACGAGCCCGGAGAGTGCGATCCTGTAAGTTTTAATCAATTCTTCACTGATTGAATGCAGTTCAAAAGAGCAAGGAGGGACAACGAAGAATACAACAAATTAGTTTCACTGAAGTTGCAGGAATGTCTTAAGAATGAAATTAGTCTTGCTGTAACATTAGTAATAAGAAAGGCTTAGTATTTTTTTATGAGGCTACAAGGATTCAAGATTTCTATGATGAGGACAGCAAGTCATTCATTGTTTCATTTAGGGTTCATCACAGAGGAGCTTTCTGCCCAGTATCAATACTGCTAACTCATATTCTTACTCATGATTGTCATCCATGCACTAATACAAATCCTCCTTTACTTTTACAAAGGATGAAACAGAGACTACGTCGGATGGCTGCTGCAAAATATGTAAACGTAAGTAATGCTGTGTTTATGTGTTCTACTTAAAGAGGATTGTGTTCAACTTCTAACTATCTTTGAGTGGATGGAAGGATTCTTCACTCCCCCTGTTTTTACATATTCTATATGTGAAGACCCTGTGTTTCACTATTTATTCAAAAGAAAAACGCAGATTTGTTTTCCTGATACTTAATATCACAAATCAAACCAGCAATGCTCAGGCCTCTGCATTATTTTCCAAAGACACTTTTAGAGCTGAAATCAAAGAATAATCTGAAAACTCCAGATACCTTACACAGCACCCACTCCCCACCCTATCACATACTGCCGATTCTCAATAATCAAACATCGTGCACTTTGAAACTGCGTTAGCATTCCTTTAGTTCTGAACTAGAGATTTGAAATATACCTTCCCCTCTTCTTTTCATGAAGCTGCAAAATGTAAGCCTTACAGCAAGAAAACTGTGATCCGCCATGCTGGCTGTGAGTCTTCTGAACCTGTTGAGCTGTCATATTGTGAAGGAAATTGTCCTGGCTCCTCAGTGTAAGTTCTAAAGATTAATTTAACATCTCTATGGCTTCATTTATGCTTTATTGGCCTCTCACAAGGAGGCTCATGGGAGACCTTACTGCTCTCCACAACTACCTGGAAGGAGGTTGTAGTGAGATGAGGAGTTGCACCAGGGGAGCTTTAGATTGGATGTTAAGAAAAAATTCTGCATTGAAAGGGTTGTCAAGCATCAGAACAGGCTGCCCAAGGAAGTGATATTTAAAAGACATGCAGATGTGGCACTTCAGGACATGGTTTAGTGGTAGACTTGGCAGTACTGGGTTAATGGTTGGACTCAATCTGAAAGGTCTGTTCCAACCTACATGATTCTATGATCACAGAATAGCAACAAAGTTAATGTGTTTATATGATTCCATTGAATTGAATCAGATTCAATGGAAGCAAGAACAGTTTCACTATTGAAGAGACAAGTAATTAAAATCACATTCATAAGTGTGTCTGAGAGGGAGGAAAAGAGGATGTATAAAAAACCAAAAACCAAACCAAATACCCCCAAAAGAAAAGTCACTGAGCAGGTTCTGTGTGTCAGTTTTTACTGAGATGGTTTTTTTTCCTGGTGGAACACAGGTATTCTCTTGAAGCAAACCAGATGCAACATGAGTGTGGCTGCTGCCAAGAGCTCAGCACCCAAACGAGAGAGGTGACCCTGACTTGCCAAAATGGAACAAGCATAAATTACAACTATGTATATGTGGAAAAATGCCAGTGTACGAATGGTTGCTCTTCACAAACCTCTGCATCACAAGACTCCCAAACACAACAATCTGAAGAATACAGCTCCCAATTGCAACAGGCTTCAGCATTTGGTTCCCAATGGCAAATCAGCACAAGTAATAAGATGTATCGTTGAAAAAAGAAAGCAGAGAACCCTAGGGAAGCTGAAATCATGTCTTCCCTAGAGTAACTTGCGCTCCTTCTTTAACAGATCTTATGTCAACTTCTGTTATCACCTTTTCTCATTTCTTACTTGTAAAAAAAAATTAAAAAAAAAGCAAATAATTACATTGTAGTGTTTGGATTTTTTTTTCAGTGATACAGTATTAAAGGGTAAAAACAAATGAGCGTAGAAAATACCTTGTGAAAATTAAATATGCAAACACATTTCTACTTGATCACAAAACTGTTATTTTCTGAAAAAAGAAAAGGATTAAGGGGTCTCTAAAAAATAAAACCAGAAAATGTTGCAGCTACATTGTATTTCCTGTCCCTAGCGAAAGCTTTGTTGCATAACATTTTTATAGATTTAATGGTCCTAACACATCACAGTGACAGGGACAAAGCTGTTTTCTTTTATTTGATTAATAAAACTTTCAGCATTTTTCAATTTCGGTGACTATCTGATACCCATCTTCATTATCTAAATGAGAGTCCAACGGCATTAGAAAGTTTTCTAAGTCAGATGAGTATGTTCTCTAGCAACCTTTGGGAATGAAGACACTCTCAAAGCCCTTTTCCTGGATGACGTAAAATTCACTCACTCAGGTCTAAATTGCTCTTTCCACTGGCATAAAAGGTACAAAGATGAAAAACAACCCCTCTCATGTGCTGTGTTCTAGTTGCCAAGAGGGTGGGATAGCAGGTAGGTGTAGTAATAAATGAAGAGTTCCAGAAAACAAGTATAAAAAAAGAGGAAGGGAAAACAGTATTCATCACTACATGCTTAGATCAAAAGGTATTTGACTGTAGAAATCAGCACTTGCTCCTTCAGCTGAAGAAACGAATCTATATACATACTAAAGTCAATGAACTTAGTAAAATCAGAAAATTCTTCTGCCTATAATTTTAACAATATTCAAAACCAAGTTTTTTTGAATGGGTTTATGCTAAGGAGGAAACTGGCTGTCTGTTCCCCACAGTAGTTCACCATGTTTACCTGAGCTGTTTGGAGCATTTACCTTATCAGTAGCTGTTAAAATACAAAGCCTGAAATCTGCCCTGAAGGCTTGGCTGAAAAATAGAGGAGGAGCTCTTTGATCAAATAGTTGCATATTTTTCACATGCTTACTTAGAGGCAAAATTCAATCCCTGAATGAAATCAGTAGAGCCCTATCTATTGGCCTTCACGGGCATGATCTGATACCATATTAGGATTAACCAGTGGGGAGAAGTAGATAGGGTTGTAAGCTTTGCATTAAGTCTTGCAGAGCATGATCAGCCATCAGAGATCAATTAATTATATTAGCACATAAAAGTATTTTTTAATTTTAAATTTCCAAATTAGAGGATGTAGGGGCTATTTCTCAAAGCTGAACACCACATTATTTCCAGGTAGCTGATTGGTTACCTATGAGTGTAATTTGAAGATGCCATTGCAACACTCAGTGATCACTGCATTCATTAAAAATAAATAAATAAATAAAATTCAGCACCATAACTCACCATTTAGAAGAAATAATCTTGATTAGTGGAATTTGGGGGGGTTGGGTTGTTTGTTTTGGTTGGGTTCTTTTTGCTTTGAAAACCAGCCCACTGCAAAATGCTAGAAACCACTGAATTGTCTCTGCTCTAAAATACAGCTTCTAATTTTTTTTAAGAAAATCTATTTTTGTACTTTTTTTTCTCTCAGGCCTACACAGAAGAAAACACAAGGGATTTGCACTTCGAGTAAATAGGATTAGGAGAAAACAATAATTTCAATTTCTATTTTGAGCAAATGCTATACTGCAATTACAGTTTCAAGGAATCTCTGGTAATTACATGAAAGCAAAGAAATTAGCTAAAAAGGAAAACATGAAGACATACATTTGCTTGATATCAAGAAGATACCATTTATATTAAAATATGTCTACTTATTGTGTACTATATCAAGCTATTTTAACTTGAAATTATAAAATACCTGTATGTCTTAATTGTATAGGAAAATTTCCAAATACGTTAAATATACAATCATAGCATCAGAAAAATTCGTTACAGAACTACAGATTAATAGTATTTAAAACAAAAACCAATATATAACATGAATCCTGAATGCTTTATAATCAGTAAGTGCTATCTTTTTATCCTACATTTACCATAATCAAATATACTGATGCTTCACTAAAAATTACCACAGAAAAGTATTTACCTTTATCAGGAAACAGAATACTCCTTTTTCTATTCCACTAAGTAGACGATTGCAGGGACTACTGCATTAGGGAATGTTATGTAGCAATATGCATATGTATGGTGGAACTACCCACATAGTGATTTATTGATGTGTTGACATAATGTCTCTTAAACAAATCTGTTGACCGTACTAAGAATCTTATTAAATTGTTCATTATTGCTCATTGAATAAAATGTCCCATTGCAAATAAAATGATTTACAGGTTTTATCATCTGATAATCTTAAACTAGACAAATATGAAGGTTATGCTACTGCTCTGTAAAAGTCAGTGCCATTTGTGGAACTGTGGTGCTTAACCACATGAGAGATATTTGTTAAGTTTTAAACTAATATCAATAATATATAAACCCAGACTTCATTAGTTCATCAGCTGGAGGACAGAATTTAGTATCCCTGAACAAAATAAATGGGGTAACATACCTGTACAACATTCATAAGCAGGGCCCTTTACCTTCCAATCCAAATCATGACCTGTGTTTCCTCTAGCCTTTCCAAACAAAATACCAACAACACTCAATCAGGTACTGGACTGGAAATATGCTAAATACACTAAAATTAATTTGAAAGACTAAATGAAATCAATTACTCTGTAAACTGGGCAATAATAGCTCCAAATTATTTTGGTTAAAAAGAACAGTGGGGCCCTATTTATCAGATCTTTCCCTAAGTCTTAAGCATATGAAAAATTTGCATGATATAGAAATGCTAAACAAGATAAATACTTCTCCCTTTACATTGTTTATTTTTCTTTTTCATCTTTCAGTGCAACTTCTGTTTCCTCTTCTTTTGTAACAGCACCACCAGGCAGTGATTTAAGGAGATATTTCGTTGATTTTGGCTTTTGACTTTTATTCACCTCTCTTCCTTCCCCTTTCCTCTAATGGTATTTGATAGCACTTCCCATAACTTTATGTCTAAGGAGTTTGATGTGTTCATTCATGTCACCTACTTGTCTCCCAACAAACATATGGAGTTACTGCATTGTTAATTTTACCACTACACACAGTGCAATTCCATCTCTTGAGAGCGGAGATTCTATTCTCTAATGTGCAATGCTTCCGGGCAATGAGTTATACCAGAAAGTTCTTAAGGATACTTTTAGACCTCCTGTTTTCACACTTTCATTTCCTAAGCCCCAAGATTATGTTGCCAACATGACAATAAATCATTGATTTGGTCTATTAGGCTCACCTATTAGTTACTGGTGCAGTATTTGAAGTATATAAAGTTCGCTTACCGTAATCCTGAAAACGAGGTATGTGCAAAAGGGCTTGCCTGATGGATGAGCATAGAACTTTATCATGAGCTGTCCACAAATTAAAGAATACTTCCTTTCTACAAGATGTCAAAAGGAACCATTGAAAGCTGGTGTGCTGACCTTCTTTAAAAGACCA